AGCTGCTCCGGGAGCTCTGCGCCATCGAGGAGCGCCTCCCAGGCGGTCACCGCCTCGGACCAGCGCTGCCCTTCGGAGAGCTGCAGCGCAGTCTCCAAGCTGAAGGCACGAATCTGAAGCCGAGGTCGAAGCCGTGAAGCGAACGCCTGCGCTGGCTGGGCCACGTGAATGAAGCACGGATTCCTCCAGGCATGGTTCGAGAGCATTAATTTCGAATCACTGCTAGTGAGGCTGTGATGCAACTACAGTAGTTGCTGCAACTGTCAGGATGATGAGCTAGCGTGCACGCAGTGACCAACCGCCATGGCCCATGATAAGCCATGTGCTGTGCTACCAACCTTCGGCACCGTATTCATCGCTTGCACCGCTTAGCTGCTTGCGTCCGTACCAAGGCCTTGACCCTTAAACCACCGGAGTGCAACGCTTTCTTCAGGTCTCTCTACGATCTGAGCCGTCGACAGCTATATCATCCCCGGACGTCCAGAGCATCCGATAGCATGCCGAGATCCCGGACGTCGGAGCGCCGCGCGCGGTTGGTGTGGGGAACTCGACCCAAAAAAGGTATGCCGGGCCTTTCAGAAACAGGGTGCTAGCGCCCTGTTTATAGCTTCATAGGGCTCCAGGATCACAACCTCCAGGAGTCCAAGTAGGCATGTCGGAAACACGTCGAGTTCCGAATTACACCACCGTAGACCCCAAACAGTGTGTGTTTTCGAAATCGGAACACTCTGCAACTAGAGCCTGCGACGTCCAGAGCTGGGAGACAAAGGATTGCAAGGCAGAGGCGGCCACAGCAGTCCGGAGCTGGGAGACAAATGTAGACACAGGGAGACAAATGCAAGGATTGCAAGCGACATGGAGACAAATGCAAAGGCTTGCGAGGACACATGTAAAGGATTGCAAGGCAAAGGCGGATAAACAAATGAATAGAAGTGCTGCAATTGAATAGAACTGCTACATGGACAGCGGATAAGGGTGGACACCAGCAGCGACAGACCTGGGAGACAAATGAAAAAATACTACATGGCCAGCGGAAAAGGGCGGACACCAGCAGTGACAGACCTGGGAGACAAACGAATAGAAATGCTACATGGCCAGCGGAAAAGGGCGGACACCAGCACTGACACAAAGGGCGGACAAATCTTAAGAAAGAATTGAGAACAGTAAACTGTCTGGGGAATGAAAAAGAAGGGAGAGGCAAATGAAAGGAAGTGGGAGACAAGCCAGGCGGGAACCCGA